ACACATTCTCTGGGTTACTGCGCACTCGCATTTGCATTCAGAGTGACCTTCCACGTTCAAACTAAGAATCTGAACACCGGTTGTGCTGCGTTTACTCAAATGGTGAATTGGATCTAAAAATTGTACGAGCGTGTTAGAAGCACGTAAAAACGCACAAGTTGTTACAAATATATATCAGGATGTGTTTGCACTATTTGTTCCCAGTTGTTGTGACAAATCTGGAACAAGTTATCACCTCGTTGCACAGTTGATGACTCACGACTGTAACAGATTTTCTACAAGTTGTTCCAACAAGGCTAATGCAAGTAAACAAGTTGCTACGAGCTTGTTGTTATCAAATTGTAATTACGTGATATTGTTAATTGTTCCAGACTTGTCAACAACTGGGAACAAGCAGTGCGAACACATCCTTATAGACCTTTCCCCTTATGAGTGAAATTTTGATCTAGATATGCCTGGACAAAAATTTCATCACAACCTGAAAGAGCATCACAAAATTAGTAATATTCCGAAGTCTCGTTGCGAAATGTTGTAAAATGCGTATAATATAGCCTTGCGAAGTTTGCCGTTTTTCAGTCATTTTGCATTAGGCCTACAAACGGGAAATTGATAATCGGATATTCAAACTGATTATCAATTTCCCATTTGTAATACAAAATGACTGAAAAACGGCAAACTTCGCAAGGCTATATTATCCGCATTTTACAACATTTCGCAACGAAACTTTGGAATATTACTAACTTGGTGATGCTCTTTCAAGCTGTGATGAACAGACTTGTCTAGATCAAAATTTCACTCAAAAGGGGAAAGGTCTATTGAGAAGCGATTATTGAGATTTTTACGCGTGCAGGCCGTACAATGAGTTTGAATATCTAGCACGGACACGTGATCTACATGCAGCTCTGGCCGAACTGTTTTTGTTGCACCTGCGTATAGCCAACATTGTAAAGGATCAGATTTGACTTCCACTACCGCTACCGTTATATTTAGGAACCATTAACCGATCAGATGCGTTTGATATACCCGATTAACCAATCAGATGCGTTTGATATATCCGATTAACCAATCAGATGCGTACTAAGCCAGTGAGAGTTAGCGGAAGTGGAAATCAAATCTGAACCTTTGTATTGTATAGATGGGGCGGAAAGTTGGGAAACGTTCATTATTTACACCCTGATGTGAGTTGGAGGATTCTTATATTATGATGTACACAAATCGACCTCCCCCCCTATTTTTATGCTCTTAATAATGAAGACACCCACTAAATATTAAAAGTATATAGCTCCCCCAACCTCCCCACAAAAAAACATATATATACAGTATATATAATGCGATTCTAATCTTACTTTATGCGAATGTCAGACTATATTCTAAGTTTCTAACATACACAATAAGAGCTATAGTAGAACGTTTATTTGCACAATCCAAAACTCATATTTGACAAAAAATTTCCCGTTCAACTGGGAAGATTTATTTGCAAACAGGTGCCACATTTTTTTTTCTTTTGTTTTTAACAACCCTCCTCAAGGCTCCAACCAATGCAAAGGCCTCGCAACCCCCTTCATAGGACAAGCAAACGAGAATATTCAGGGATGCCGATGTTGAATTATCCGGATAATCATTCTCCCAGGCGATCAACGATGACTACAGAGATCGATGGTAACAAATGTCTTTCTCCTTGCAGCTGGCCTTATAAGGGAAACGGTTCCGAACCGCGTAATATATTCAATCAGTACACATGTGCCTGTTTGTTATGAAAGGCTGGGTGAAATAATAAGAGAGGGAGGCTATTTTACAACAAGACCAATGGCAAACCCAGGTTAATTTTATTTACAGTGAAGAAAACTTGTGCGAGTAGGCAGCGCCGAAATTAAAATAGGATGTATATATACAGTGTGTATAAAAAAAGGTAATCGAATTTCAGCGCGCTATTGCATCTGAATTACTCTGCGAACAACCGACTCTGCGATCATATTCGGATCAGGCTTTTAGCTGTTCAATGATATGTTCTTCATGGCAAATGGATAACAAATGAGCAAATACGAATCCGATAAAAAATGTTAGTAACAATTGCATATCTTCACCGTTGAGAGTTGGGTCTAAAACCATTGAAAATTAACCCCGCGGCCCCTTTAGGACCTAAATAAACAATAAATAAACTACGCAATATTCATAATTATTATCAAGTAGGAATAAATCTTAGCCGGCTAAGCTATGACAATTTCATGATTAATTGCTTTTTCTTTTGTTATGCACTGTTTTAATTAGGCACAGAGGTGACAATATGCGATTCTGAGACCTGTTTAACTTTTATACGTCGAATTTTGGTCGCGTCGAATGCAATTATAAACAATGGATAATGAGATGATAAATCTTATTAAAGTTCATTATATATTGTTTAAATTGCATTCGACGCGACCGAAATTCGACGTATAAAACAGGCCTGACTAACATTTTCTATCGGACTCGCACTTGCTTATTTTTTCTGCACTTGGCATGAAAAAATGTCATTCAATAGCTACAATAAAAGTCTGATCTTTCCGAATATGAAAAAAATTGTTTTCATACGCCGAGTCATTCACGTACAATGGCGTGCTGAAGTTTGATTACCTTTTCTTTTTATACCCCCTGTATATCTTGTATAGAAATTGGAAAAAAATTATACACCCTGTAGAATACCTTTCAATTTTGCGAATTCGTCCATAACTTCACGTCTCTTTCTGCTACTATGGTAGGGAACTCTGTACGCTTGAAGGGGGATGTCAACCTTAGTCTTGGCACGGCATTCCACAATATCACGACGGACACTGCATGAACCAATACAGCGAGGGACTTGTATAGCATATGGCCAGATGAATGCATTCTGACTTAGAGGTGGTTGCGTCAGGAAATGTATGTGAGCACGTACCATGCATATCTGAAGATCACGATTGATCAGTCCACCTGGGTTTCACGAAAACAAGAAGCAAAATATAAATTAGTCAGGGGGTTGCTCGTGTATGTGAACAGTAAATACCCAAATTTTGTTGGCATCTCATCTTGAAGGGTTTTGCAGATGGAGTTTATCGAGTCATCGAGTGTGGTTGGTGCTCGACAGCTGGACTCTGTAGCTGAATTGGTTAGAGCCGCTGCACTGGAATTGCAGGTTCGTTTCCTGCCAGAGAACCGACGTATATACCGTAAACCTCCGACTATAAGCCCCCCCCCCGTGTATAAGCCCACCACATGTACTAACGCTCACCTCATTCCAAATATAAGCCCCCCCCCCGAATATAAGCCCACCCGAATATAAGCCCCCGAATATAAGTCCCCAATTAATATAAGCCCAGTAATCGCTGTTTTAAATACACGTTTATT